AAAAAAAAAAAAAAAAAGAAATTACCCAGTTCCAGGTATTTTGTTATAAGCAACAGAAACAGACTAATACACACGGTATGTGCAAAACATTATTGGAGTTAAGGAAGAAATACTCATATCTCTACTACAGTTATTATTTTAATCTCATACTTTAAAATTATCTTTATTTATCATTTATATATTTCATAATGTATATTTTAATATGCCAGCAAATATATAGAGAATAGTCTATCTCTATATCTGTATACAGTAGGCTTGCTCAAGAGTTTCTTATTCTTTGGGATGTTTGATTAAAAAGCTTGGAGGCCAACCATTTGCCTTAGAAAATTCTTAATATTATGTTAGTATAAATATATAAATGTGATGTAATCTCACATTAGTATAAGGTCTAATGACTCTTAGACTTTGTAAACTTATTACTGGCTATTACCCCAAGTAATTTACTACCAAATATGTAAAATAAGATTTAAAATCATTGGGGTTTCATGTTAGTCAGGGTTCTTTGGTTTTAAGCAGTAGAAACTAACTTTGAGCAACTTAGGCAAGGATACTGAAAACAACACTAGCTGGCTCACAAAATCAATAGAAAAGCTGGGCCATCTGGCCTCCCAAGAGCAGAGCTATGGCAGCCCTAAAACTCAGGATTAAAGTCACGGGGACTAACTCTTAGGGCCCTGCTACTGGTTGACTTAGCTCTAGTTAACCTTCCCTCCCCAAATGTCTCCACTCAAGATTCACATTTCCAAGAAAAAAAACCTGATGGCATACCTTGGGTCACATGCCACACCACTAAAAATCTTTTATAAGCCCCGGTCCATGTGTATTTCCTATGGATTGTGCAGGGACGGTCCTTTCCATCCATATCTATAAATTCCTACACTAAGACATGAATACTTGCTGAAAAATGCCAATTCTGGTGATGTAGTTTTTTCTTCATATCCAGAAACCAGAAAGAGAAAAAAGTGTTGGGTTATTAATCTAAAGTGTCACTTTCCTGCTAGGAACAAAACTTGATTTTTATGTGGTTGTGGCTTTTCCCCCCTTTACATTTCCGTTAAATGACATTTGAATTCTTAAACTATCTTTTAGAAATTGAAACAAAAATATTCACCAAGGGACAAATATAATTATAATTATTTAATATAAATAATTGGAGACCCTTAATAAATTTTAGGAAATTTAGAACCAATTTTAAATTAAATTTGCTTTTAAAATTCATTTTCTTTTTCTATTTATATAAATAAAATCCAAGTTTAACTACTCTGCTTTTAATTCACAGGAAAAGACTAGATAAAATGTTTAGATTTAAACTTAATTTTTCTGAAATGTAAAATGCCTGTAGTAGAGGTAGAGGATGTATTTGGGAGAAAAGTGATATTAAGTGCTGATTTGATTCCCTTTCTTCAGATAGCCTGTATGAAAATATTTAAGGAAAAATGTTCAAGCATAGATTAGATAATCTCTTTGCAATTAGCAAAATGATTTAGTGAGGACTTTTGCTATCAAATAATAAACTTTTTTAAAGGCAGAATTCAAAGGCCATAGATTTAAATTCTGTTTAGTACAGGATTTATGAATATATAGAGTAGGTCATTAAGGGATGCAGTTAATGTGCAACCAAAACACACTCCCCACCCCTCTGTCCAAGTATATTTCTACCATTGAAATTCCCATTCAGCCAAATCTAGTCTTTGAATTTCATGGTAAAAGTCAAATGCCATCTTGGAGGAATCAAAAAAATCTTTAGTGCTTTTTCTCTACTTGGTTTATAAAATAAGCAGCCAGAGCCTAAAACTAATTTGACAACAAGGAGGTAGTTTTCAAATCAGGGAAATCAGAAAGTGAAAGCCCATGATTTGGGTATAACCTATTAAGTCCAGAGCAGGTCAAGGACAGGAATACTGTACACTCAGAGGTAACCAGACCCCCTTGCACGAGGAGCAGGAGTGTGAAAACAAGGAGATCTTACTCCAAATTCTCTTGAGTGTCAGTTATGATTATGTCTGACCAGGTAGATTTAACAGAATGCCATGACTGAAATATTTGATTATACCTCTTCATTGTAGCCCTTCAGTTTGTAATCTCTATTACTTCTATTAATAATGGTGCTGAGTTAGAGTAGAGGTAGAGGATGAAGGTAGAAGGACTGTAGCCCTTCGGTTTGTAATCTCTATTAATTCTATTAATGGTGTTGGTTTACATAGATGTAGTTAATTTGAAACTGACTTACAGTCAGATCAGATTCATCTAAGGTTGATTGATGGAAAATAATTTTATGCCTATACACGGGTTGCCTGTTATGTGTATAACATCATATAAAAACATTCCCAAATTTACCAGAATTTGTTATGGGTAGGGGAAGGGAGAAGGAGGGTAGGAAGCACACCATTTAAATAACAATTACATGCCAAAATATGTAATACAGACAAATAGTTTAAAATGTAGAAGATCCAAAGATATAGAAATTAGTATGATTGGGAGCAGAATGAAAGTCAGCATGGGAGAACTAAGACCTGAAATGGGGCTTTAGGGAAGGGTAGGATTTGGATATAAGCAATAAAAAATAGGAAGACCGTTCTGTATTTTGGTTATGCAGAAATTCATCTAGGACCCCTTAAGGTGACATTCAAGTCCAGTAGAAGCTTTGAGGAAATAGAATTTTAATGTTGGCTTATAGGAAAATATTTACAACAGTTGGAATTTCTTTACATGAATAATTAATGCAAGAAATCTTACCTCTTTCTTCCAGGTGTGTCTGCACAGCTCACCAACACCCGGCACCATCGGAACACATCCGTAGGAACACCATTTTGGATGGCTCCTGAGGTTGGAGAGAAGTTTTTTGGGGGTCTTGTTTTGTTTTGGTTTGGTTTGGTTTTTCTTAGCAATTAGAAATTCTTTTGTTTTATTGGTCATGAATATTCATGGGGTACAAAGCTGGTTGTCACCACTTGTGCCCAAGATGTGATGACCAGATCCACACTGGCAGCATGCCCATTATACAAATTGTGATTATACCCCATGTCCCCCACCCAATTATCCCTGATCTCCCTCCCCATCCCACTTTCCCCCACTCTACTTTGTATCCCTAGGTATGCTCTCTCCCTCTGCAAGTCCAACACACCACTGTGGTCTTTCTTTCTTCCTTCTTTCTCTTAGCTCCCTCTTATGAATGAGTACATGCAGTATTTATCCCTCTGTGCTTTGCTTATTTCACTCAACATAAGTTTCTCCAACCTCATCCATGTCGCTGTGAATGGCAGAATTTCATTCTTTTTCTATGGCAGAGTAGTATTCCATGGTGGATATATACCACATTTCCTTATCCAGTCATCCATCAATGGAAATTTAGGTTGGTTCCATGTCTTAGCTATTGTGAGCAGAGCTGTGATGAACATGGAAGTGCAGGTATCCCTTTGACATGATGATTTCCATTCCTTTAGGTATATACCCAGAAGTGGGCTTGCTGGGTCATTCAGAAGATCTATCTGTAGTTGTTGGAGAAATCTCCATACTGTTTTCCATAGTGGTTCTACTAATTTACAGTCCCACTAACAGTGTAGGAGTGTTCTCTTCTCTTCACATTCTTGCCAGCATTTATTATTCTCTGTCTTTTTGATTATAGCCAGTCTAACTGGGGTGAGGTGATATTTCAATGTGTTTTTAATTTGCATTTCCCTGATGACTAATGATATTGAGCATTTTTTCATGTGCCTGTTGGCTATTTGTATGTCTTCCTTTGAAAAATGTCTATTCAGCTCTTTGCCCATTTTTTAATTGGTTTATTGTTTTTTTTTACTGTGTAAATGCTTGAGTTCCTTGTATATTATGGATATTAATCCCTTGTCAGATGCATAGTCAGCAGAAATTTTCTCCCTCTCTGTAGGTTGTCATTTCCCTCTGTTGATTGTTTCTTTTGCTATACAGAAGCTTTTTAGTTTGATATAGTACCATTTGTTTATTTTTTCTTTTGTTGTCTGTGCTTTTAGGCTTGTGTTCATAAAGTCTGTGCCAAGACTTCGTTCTGAAGTCTCTCACCTATATTGCCCTTTAGTAATCTTACAGTTTCAGATCCTATACCTAAGTCTTTAATCCATTTTGAGTTGATTTTAGTATGTGGTGAGAGGTGCAGGTCAAGTTTCATTCTTCTGCATATGGATAACCAATTTTTCCAGCACCACTTATTGAAGAGGCAGTCTTTTCCCCAATGTATGTTTTTGTTGCCTTTGTCAAATATCAGATGGCTGTATGCCTGAGGGGTGATTTCTGGGTTCTCTATTCTGCTATACTGGTCTGAGTGTCTATTTTTATGCCAGTACCATGCTGTTTTGGTTACTATAACTTTGTAGTATAATTTGAAGTCAGGTAGTGTTATACTTCTAGCTTTATTTTTTTTTACTCAGGATTGCTTTGGCTATTCAAGGTCTTCTGTTGTTCCATATGAATGTTGAGATTGTTTTCTCTGTTTCTGTGAAGAATGTCATTCTTATTTTGATGGGGATTGCATTGAACTATAGATTGCTTTGCTCCTAGAGCTCATTAATAATTTCAGTAATGCTGCAGGATATAAAAATCAATGCTCCCAAATCAGTTGTATTTATATTCTCCAATAATGAGTTAACAGAGAAATCAAGAAAGTAAGCCCATTTTCAACAGTCAAGAAAAAATATAATACCTAGGAATCAATTTAACCAAGGAGGTGAAATATCTCTACAATGAGAACTACAAACCACTACAGAAAGAAATTAAAGAAAACTCAAAAAGATGGAAAAGACATTCCATGCTCTTGGACTGGGAGGATCAACATTGTGAAAATGTCTATACTAACCAAAGCGATCTACAGATTCAATGGATAGTGTTTTGAGGGAGACAAATATTTGATCCTTTCTGACTTTCCTTTTTACGTGTGCTTTATCTCCATAAATATTTTGGAATATACTAGAAGAAAATGTCAGTTTTGTTATTTAATGTGAGATGTTTTGATGTGTAAGGAGGAACGTGGGAGGTGCTCAACAAATGAATACATGAATAAATGAAAGATTGAGTGAGTGAATCAGATGAGATAAAGAGAAACTACTTACATCTTTTATATTTTATAAAATTTACTTTTAGTTGTTTAGCATGTATCTATATTAATGATATTTACATTCCGTTTCATTTTTTTATTGAAAAAAATTTGATTATACGTATTTGTGGGGTAGAATTACTAGGCAAAGACTTTACATCCTGTTGTAAACCACAATAGAAATATGATGAGAACCCTCACCCTTTGGTAGATCAGATTCAGGCGCATTAACCTCTATGACAGCTTTGCATATTGAGTCACTCCACCTGAGGGCTATGTTCAGATTTGGGCAAAGACTTTACATCCTGTTGTTAAACCACAATAGAAATATGATGAGAACCCTCACCCTTTGGTAGATCAGATTCAGGCACATTAACCTCTATGACAGCTTTGCATATTGAGTCACTCCACCTGAGGGCTATGTTCAGATTTAGTAGATTCTTTTCACTATTACTTTTGGGAAGTTCTAGATAAACTGCTAAAATAGTTGAGGGAAAAAGTTTTTGAGAGTAACATCTTCTCCCCATAGTCACTATTAATGCCTTTAATCTTTTAAATTATGTTTGTCAATAAAGAACACTTAGTTTTGAAAACTCTCTCTGCAACCATTTGGAAAAGCTCTGCTATTTATCTACAATTTTCTAGGGAATGAAAGGAGGAGAACTAATTCAAATACTATATTAATATTGCAAAACCTTATAATTAAATTTGTTTGAGGATTATATCCTCGTGTACTGTTTCTACTTGAATACTAATTCAATTATTACTTGCAAAAGAAAGCTAAAATGTAAACAAAATAAAATATGGACAGAGGAAACATTGTTATAGGAAACTTTTTAAAAAGTTCAATGGTTTATAAAAATTTTTTAACAGGGAGTACATCGTAGAATAAAAGTAGGAAGTATATTCATATAAGCAAAAGCAAAACTGAATAAGAATCTCAAATGAGAGTTTCTTTAGAGTTTGTTTTGGTGTATTGCTAGTGTTTTTAAAACTTACAAAAAATTTACAAAAATGAGAAGTTGATAATAGTGTGATTGTAATACCAATCATTGCATTTTGTTTGCCTATATTAATAATATAATAATGAACATATCATATAATTATATTATTATATAATTTATACTTTAGCTTCATTTTTTTAAATGTTAATTTATAGTAACAAAGCCATTGCTATATTTGTTTACTATTTAGTAAAAACACTCATTAATATGCAATTACTAGACATTTTTCAAGTCATTATTTATTATTAATAAACCTATGGTAGCACAAATAAGGCTTGAAAGTTCTTTCCTACTTAATAAACTGATGGATATTATAGAAAAGAAAAAAGGCTCACTGCAGTTTTTTCAAGCTGTCATATAAATGTATTTTCAAGCATGTCATATTCATTTCTCTGTAATAAGTACTTTCTAGTCTTGAAGAACATATTTTGAATAACAGATTTTCTAGTTAATCAAGATATCCCATATATATACCACCTCTGTGTTATTAATGACAAATTTCTAAGAATTAGAAAACAATAAGGTAAACTAATGTATTCACCATAAAGGCATAGATGTATTTCAGTGTTTTTAGGGCCTCAAAGGCAAACTTGTTCAAATGTATAATCAGTTGAAAGTGAAATTCTTGTTTTGATATTCTTTGATTAAAATCTATGTCATTAGATAGAGCATGGTGTTGGTAATATCAAGGTCAAGAGTTCGGATCTCCATACCAGCCAGTTGCCAAATAAATAAATGAATGAATGAATATATACATACATACCTGCATTCATTCTGCATCAAAGGTAGTGATTGTTAGTTACCTAACACCAGTCTTCCCACACTGGAGTACATGTGTACCAAGATGAAGGTGTCAAAGGAAGAAATAGTGACTTGGTAGGTGACTATACAATTTATCATACAAATCAGGACACCTTGGAGAGTGAAAGAGGGGTGGTGTTTAGAAAGATTCTAGGACAAAAGGCATAAGCCAAAAATGTACCAGGCAAACTGGGACATAAATTCATCTGAGACTACTGGGAGATAGATGTTCCCGGACCACACGTGTGAAGCCATAAAATAATGCATTATCCTGAAGCAATAATTTTACCAAAAAAAAAAAAAATAGTGGGACAAAAACATCATTTTTATGCCAAGGCAGACAACAGAATGAAAAAAGTACATATTATGTATTTTTACATTTTAAACAGTTCTATAGAGATATAATTTAGATACCATACAATTCATTCATTTAACGTGTACATTATTATATTTAGTGTATATTCACAGGGTTGTGCAACCATCACCACAGCGAATTTTAGAACATTTTTATTCCCCCTAAAAGAAACTCCGTACTCCTTAATAGTCACTTCCCATCTCCTGCCAAACTCCCCTGCCCTAAGCAACCTTAATCTATTTTCTGTATCAATGGATTTGCCTATTCTGGACATTTCACATAAATGGAATCATACAATATGTGGCCCTTGAACTGGCTTCTTTAACTGAGTGTAATGTTTTCAAGGTTTATCATGTTGTAACATATATCAATAGTCAACTCCTTTTCATGACTGAATAATAGTCTATTTTATGTATATACCACATTAGCTTATCCATTCATCAGTTCATGGACATTTGGGTTGTTTCTGCTTTTGGGCTATTTGAATAATACTAATATTTGCCACATGAATTTTTAATGTGAAAAACTGTAATGTAAAAAAATGGCCTGGAGTATTATTCTGCTTTTTCCAAGACTCTTATGGTTGTTCCTAGTACTTCAGGCTGTGCTCTCTGATTTTGGCTTTTCACTCTCCTGTGATATTAAAAATATTTTGGTAGGGAAGTTTGAGAAGCACTGTGTAAGATGCTGTCCCCAACATACTGACTCTAGTTTGGGAAACTATATTTTCTCTCTCTCTGTCTCTTTATCTGTCTTTCTCTCTATATACATGTATATACACATATATAGATTTTAGCTATATTTATGTATGTATTTATTATTGGCCTTCAGGTGCTTAGAAATAGATTGGTTCATGGCTGTTTTGTGTATTTGCCCATGAACTTGCCACACAACTCAAAACCAGAATGTTACCAATAGAACACATTTGCTTCTATCTCTTCTATTCCGTCTTCTTGCCTCTTCTCTGGCATAGTTATCATTGCCTTCCTTTTATTTTTTAATCATGCTGGTAAAGTTTATTCTTAAACTATTTCCTGTCATTGTTATTAGTATCTGGTATGAATAAAGATTTATTTAAGAAGGAGTCACTTTTCCTGGATGACATGTGTGTAAATATTACCAACTAAACTCCAGTGTGCCAACACAGGGCTTTTTATAGTGTATTGTCTAATAGTAAGTGGAGTCAGAAAGATGAAATATTGTTCCAGATAAGACCTTAGGCTTCTTTCACTTTACACACCATTTTACATTTCACTTACATACTACATTTTATTATTGTTAAATGATACAATTCTAATCTTCCATCATCCCCAAATTATTTTTTATTTTTTTGTGGGTTGTCACTCACAAAACATAAAATTTTTAAATATAAAAAAATAGTTCTTAAAATGTAAAGTTGAATTTCCTTTTTGTGATCACTGATGCTAACAACTTTCATGGTCAATTTGTATTTGTGTTTACACATTTAGAAATAAACTGGGAAGTAATTAATGTAAAAATTTTTCTATATAATACTGCAAAAACAAATCCTCCTTTATTCTTGTCTCTCAATTACATCCTTTAATTAGTGACATGTATTTAAACCTGGTTGAACTTTTACAGTCTCACGTGGCCCCAGATAATCTGTTGGTAAATCTTCAGCAATGTTTATTTTTTTTATTCAGTTAACTTTTCTTTTATTAATCACTTAAACCTTTTTGTATGTCTTCAAAATTGTCTCATTCCTCCCTTGGATACCCTTGCCTTCTAGCTGCCAGTAAAGATCAAGGCCATCTAAATGAACTGCCCTTAAGCTAATTTTTCTTTACTTCCTTTGCTTTTAATTCTTAAAAAATGTGTTCTCTATCTTTGCCCAGGTGAATGTCTCCATTCCCTCATCAAACGTTTATTGAATGACTACCACTGCACAGTCTTTAGCTGTGCCTTTGATCCCATTTGGGACATTGTTTCTTTCCTCTTTTTGTTTCACGTTTTGAAAAATACTCCTTTTCATAGGCTTCTTCCCTGTTCTCAGAATAAAAATACTACTACTAATAATAATTTGGCCTTTTATGCTTTTCCTAAGTTTCCACCTTTGTCTTTACTTGTAGCTATCAAACTTCACCGGTTTAAATGCTGACACTTTGTTCTAAACATTTTGCTGCATGCTCGTTAAAGTCACAAACTTTACCTTTTTTTTCATTTAAAAAAAAATTATTTATTTTTGATTGTACGTATTTATGGGGTACAGAGTTGACTCTCAGTATTTGTACAGTATGTGATGATCAAATCAATGGTATTAGCATGTTCATCATTACAAATTGTAATCACTTTTTGTGTCCCTCACCGAATTACTCCCTAACCCTGTACCCCTCTCCCTCTCCCCCTTTCTCACCTCTAGTAACTATAGGTTTGTTCTCTCCTGAAAATACAACATTTTATTGGGGTCTGTCTTTCTTAGCTCTGAATTATGAGTGAGAACGTGGTATTTCTCTCTCTGTGCCTGGTTTATTTAGCTTATTTTCTTCAAGTTCATCCATGTTGCTACAAATGGCAGAATTTCATTCTTTTTTTATTGCTGAGTAGTATAAATACCATTTATATTATATTCCATTGTGTATGTATACCACATTTTCTTTATCCAGTCATCTGTTGATGGACATTTAGGTTGGTTCCGTATATCTTGCCTATTGTAAGTAAAGCTGCAATAAACATGGGAGTGCAAGTATCCCTTCAACATGATGATTTCCATTTCTTTGGATACCTACCCAGTAGTGGGATTGCTGGATCTGTAGTTGTTTGAGAAACCTCCATACTGTTTCCCATAATGGCTGCACTAATTTACAGTCCCTTCAACAGAGTAAAAGAGTTCTCTTTTCTCCACATCCTCACCAGTATTTGTTTTTCTCAGTCTTCTTGATAATAGCCAGTTTACCTGGGGGGAGGTGATATCTCAGTGTGGTTTTAATTTGCCTTTGCCTGATGATTAGTGATGTTGAGCATTTTTTCATGTACCTGTTGGCCATTCTTACATCTTCCTTTGAAAAAATGTCTATTCAGCTCTTTTGCCCATGTTTTAATTGGATTATTTGGGTTTTTTTACTGTGAAGTTGACAAACTTTGCCTTTCTTGTTGTTGTTTTCTACTAGGTGATTGCCTGTGAACAGCAACTAGATACCACTTATGATGCCAGATGTGACACTTGGTCCCTGGGCATCACAGCCATTGAGCTGGGTGATGGCGATCCTCCGCTAGCTGATCTACATCCAATGAGAGCACTCTTCAAAATACCAAGGTCAGGCAACTAACAGTGGGTCCAGTATCTGCAGCCCATTTTTCTTCCTCCAGCCATTGAGTGCTCATCATGGAAATATTCTGATATATTCCCACAAATTGGGAGCATAATGGCCTGGAGTATTATTCTGCTCCTCCCAAGACACTATTTATTCAGTAGTTGCATTTCACTGGTCTAAGTAAAGGAGCTTTCTCTTGATAATCGATGTATCTTTCTTTCTTTTGTTCAGATCGGCTCTCAGAGTACAGCAGTTCCTCCCACTTTTTACCCACTCCCCAATGAGTCAGTGAAGCACCCCTGTCTATAGTCAGTGCAACAGTGATTTGCTTTGGTTCACCTACTAATCTAGTAATTTTTTACTACTTGCTAAGATTTCTCTTTGTTCAGAACTTTAATAATATTATTAAGAAAATTAAAAATAAAATGCATTGATAAAATAATAATATTTTAAAGTATGTTAATATTTTGAATATGTTAATAAAAAGCAATAAATTTAGAGAAATAATGCATACACAAATCTGTGATGACAGGGACCCAGGGCATGGTGGTAGGGTGGTATATTACAGTTTGTTACTACACTCTCCATTAAACAAATTTTGTGGTCCCAATGCCTATAAAACAGAGAATCATATGTACAAACCCCAGGGGGTGGCGGTGGGAGATATTGTTCTGGTCCTAAAGAAATAATACCAATGTGTGTTTTCATTTCCAAGTGAATCCACTTGGAAGATTTGGCATGTAATTAAATTATTATAAGACCAAAACATTTGAATTTGTTTTTAACCTTACCTTTGAATTTTGTGTCCTATCAATATGTTCTGTATTATGATACCTTAGATATATATCACCCTTTATATAACAATTCAGTGTTATATCAGGTCTTACTGTTTGTAAAATACGCTGCTTAATTGGTAATTGGAGAAACAAGGTTACAGAAAAGAAAGGAAAACCTTCTCTATACCAAGTCTAAAACATTGTATTAAATTGGAGGAAAACAGAAAAAAAATCTGTTTTTTTCACCCCGTTGTCATTCAATATATAAGATGAAGCACTGTACTTCCCAGGCCATTTTAATTGTGGTTTAAGCCACCATATTTAACCTAATGTTATTACTCTTTGTAATGATGCCACATGGAAGAATGATGCCCCTACTGATATATGTATATATATTGTACCTAGGTAATACACAATGTGCAAAGTTATTCTGGAAACTGTATCATCTT